ATACCCCTGGAAAAATCAGAATAATATATGTCTTGAAGGTCTTGAGTATCAGCCTCAGGTGCTGCAACAATGAACGCAGCTAAAGAACTAAAGTAGTACAAATAGAGGTGCTTACTCTCTGTGTAAGTAGGAGGGACCCAGGTGTTTTTACTCTAGTGAGAAATGAGGCATTGGTTGCCCCGAAGCACACCAACTTAAGCTCAAAGTGTTGACTGCCTATTGATTTCAGAGCCCAGTGTCAACAAGGGGATATATTCTACTTTGATTGAAATTCTCTTTACTTATTCTACTCAAGCGAAGCGTAAGAAGCAACAAAGCACCCAGCCAATCATAACCGACAAGACGGTCGATGGGCCTTGGGGCCTGGGGCAACAGACCTTTACATAGTTGATGCACCAAGTTACTGTCTGATAGAGGAAAAAAGTTGAAATACAACACTGATGAGCTACTGGGGTAAACTCTATCTATGCTGCACTGCATCAGGAATTTTGTTCAGCATGCTGACAGTCTGTGTACTGGGGGTTGTCAACTGAATATCAAGGCCACTATATATCACTGCGGTCTGTTTGTTCAACAGAGCAGTGGACATACTTTCTACATCTGAAGTTTGAGGTTGTAATGTTATGATGTAAGTGTCACTGAAGAATGTTAATGATTGTCTGTAGTGAAAGAAATATTCCTTTACCCAAGTAAAAGTAGTAATATTACAATAGCAATACTTATTTACAAGTCTTAATTAAAAATTTTTTTAAAGTAAATGTGCAGAAGTATTATCAGCAAACAAAAGTGAGTATCAAGTCAAAGCACTCTTCCTGCAGAATGACTTAAGGTGGTATATATTTAATGCATATTACTGCCAAATTATTACTGGTTACTGTTATTGAGGATGAAAAGGAATTATTGATAATCTACATTTTGTTATTGTTGTACAAGATTGAATGAATGATTCTGAGCAAATTTTAAACACATGCCACCGCAGTAAGTTATTAAAGTTTGTGATCTACACTGGTAACAAGGTTTGTCAGATGTAATCCATAACAGTGGAACACAGTGTATGATTTTAGATTTGATTTTGAATACATTTGCTATATTGTGAAATATATAATGTCATAAATATAAATAAATATCATGACATCAAGTTCCCAACATTTCTGATGATCTAACTGGTTGAGGTGAAGCTAATTGCTTAAATATTTCTGTGTAGTAAATCATCCTATATTGAAATGAGATTTTTGTGTACAATCTGAAAGTAAAAAGTACAATATTTCCTTCTAAAATGTGGTAGAGTAGAAGTATAATGTAGCTTAAAATGGGAATATTCAAGTAAAGTGCAAGTACCTCAAACTTGCGCTTAAGTACACTACTTAAGTAAATTTACACTGGTGATTATAATAAATTTCTGATCACATAATACTCAAATTGTGTGCTGTGCCTTTGAAGCACACTGGAGTCTTTTGATCATTTTTACTCTGCCCATATGTTTATGTCAGTGATTTGCACAACATCCCAGTGAACCCAAACGCTTTAAAATGAGAGATTATCATTTATGAATCTTTCTTTTGCTGATTTGTTCTGCATAATGTGGCCACACTTCTGCCAGTGCTTGAATGACTTTGAGCCCTTGAAAACTTCACACCTTGAGTATTTCACTATGACATTAAATACTGATGACTAAACAAGCAGCTATCATAGTTAGATTTTGGAAGAAAACATCCTTCTTTATTATTAATTATAAGAGCTTAGCACTGGAAAACTGAGCTAATCTGCTTCATTGGGACTTTTTGGGTGTGGTTTGATCAGATTTGGTTGACAGTTGGCATGGCAACAGAAATAAACAACCCCCATAACTGTCACATTGTTCAGATTCAGTTGTTACTGAATCCTGATTAGTGCATGGGGAAAATGAGCCTCACCCACCTCAAACCAGTGAGATGAGCACAGACAAAACAGCAGACTATCTCAAACTTTGGCAGATCTTATGTGGACACCATCGCTCAAAGTAACAAGCTAATTGAGAAAATGTGTTTTTTAAAGAGACATTCTTGTTAATTTTTAGTCCAAGAGTTAAAAATTTAACCTCACAGTAGAGTTCAAGCTCATTGCAAATGTTTTCACTGTTTTCATGTTGCACTGAGCCGCAAAGCTTCAAGTTCACTTTGCTTTTTTCAAAGCTAGCAGTGTACTTCAAAAACAATGAGGCGCTTATTCCCAGAACCATGTTGTACAGCACGAAGGGCAACAGAAACAGTGTGGCAGAAAAACATTTCTCAGTCAGTTTAAGTGCAGGTCAGTTACTGTGTCTGCTGTAATCAAAGCACATTAGAGGATTTGCTGTTAATGCATAAAACATCAAAAAGATGTCTCCCAACCTGATGGTTCTGTTCTGCTCTGACAGTGGTGAGAAACCCTGAATAAGTTATGATGAGCTTGTGTTGCTGAAAGTAGTGAAGGGTTAGTCTTTGAGTCGTTTCCCAGTGGGCTTTGCAGAGTGCAGATTACAACAATCTTTGTGTGAGCGTTGTCCCCTCCAATGCGAGTCTCGCTCGAGTCTTTGCGGAAAGCAGCCAGTTCTAAACACAAGGACTAAAACATTTATGTGTCCTTTCATTTGTTCTGGCTGTTTTGTTTCGGTGCTCCAGCACAAATGTGTACAGTATTATCCCTCCACTTACAGTCCCTCAGTAAACAAAACCTTTTTCTTCCTGATTGTTCCTTTGCTTGTGCAGTACGCCTCATTTTCTCACTTCCACACATGGATCAGCTACAAGAATGTAATTGAAATGGAGGGATTGTTTTGCAGTCTTCTGTAGCTTTCTCATCACACTTGGCTTTTTTTTTTTTTGCTCCATCTCCAATCATTTCATCTTTACTCCTCTGCCTCGCTATGTTACTTTCTCACCATCTCCTCCTTTGATCTCTCTGCCTCCTCTCTTTCCTCTCGCCTCCCCTCAGGCTCGCCTCAAGCCAGCGGGACAGGAACCCTCCAGATCTACCTGATTGACGTGAACGACAATGCGCCGGTGCTGATACCCCGGGAGGCCCAGGTGTGCGAGCGTGCGCGCCCCAACTCCAGGATCAACATCACAGCCTCTGACGCTGACGCCGACCCCAACGTGGGGCCCTTTGTCTTCGAGCTGCCTTCTTTTCCCGCCAGCGTTCGCCGCAACTGGACTATTTCAAGACTCAGCGGTAAATAAATGCTGTAAAGCTACGATTCATATTGCAAATACTTTACCCACCCTTGTGATATTTAGGAGGTATGTGGGAATGATATATGACCATTCTGCATCCCCAGCCGAATTAAACCATAAACTTAACAGATGGGATGCAAAACCCCTCTGCAGAGTAACTGGTGACATCAATCAGGGGACCAGGGATTGCTGTAAGCTGTGAGAGAAGTCCAAGTTTAACAAAATGTCTCACAAAGCTCACAGTGAGAGACGCGGGTGCCATCCAGTGTTGACGTACGATCTATCGTTTGTGACAAATGAGACCCATTCATCTCTCTGTCCCCCGAGCAGCCGATCTGTCACCTCATCCACCCAGATGGATGTATCACAGCAGTTGTCTTGAGGACAAATCTGATCGCATACCTGGATTCTTCTCCCACTGAGGCTCTTGTCTTAGCTTGACTGAGTGATAGATGCTCAAGGTTATATGTTCTGTTGTTTTCTTATATCTTTAATGCCTCCTCGCATACATACATGTCAGAATGATTGCTGTGCAGTTTGTTTGGTTGCAGCTTTTATTTGGTATGTCATTCACTTGTACCTACGCACATGATGACATGATATTCTGCAGTGTACAACAAAATGTAATTTCTCTAACAATCTTATTTTCCCCTTTGTCTTCTTCTTCTTCTCTACCTTCATGTATTTTTCCCTCCTACAACTCCCCCTAATGTTTCCCCACCTTTCTACTGTTTTCTCTCCATCATCAACACTATCTCACTCCCACTCTCCAGGTGACTATGCTCAGCTGAGGCTAAGGATTCCTTACCTGGAGGCGAGTGTGTACGAGATCCCCATCATCGTGTCAGATTCGGGGAACCCTCCTCTGTCCAATCGCTCTGTGATCAGAGTCAAAGTTTGTCCCTGTGACGACAACGGGGACTGCAGCGCCACAGGGGCTGTGGCAGCTGCCGGCCTTGGCACCGGAGCCATCATCGCTATACTTATCTGCATCATCATACTGCTCAGTGAGTACCACACAGTAGAAGGATCAAACCTACACATACTGTGCAAATGACTAATGTAAATGTAAATATAAGACTGCTGAACCAATTGTTACACCAACACCTTTTCTCTATGACAGCTGTTCATAAACCGGGCCTTTGACTACTACTAACGTTTCTGTTTTTCATAGGTATGGTTTTGCTCTTTGTGGTGTGGATGAAGCGCAGAGAGAAGGAGCGGCAGGCAAAGCCCCTGCTGATAGATCCCGAGGACGATGTCAGGGACAACATCCTAAAGTATGATGAGGAGGGAGGAGGAGAGGAGGACCAGGTATCATTTGAAGTTCATAAATACATACATAATAACAAAAGTCATAAAAAGCAAATAACCAGCTGTGGCATCTTTGAGAAATGTTATTTGTTGTAACACAAACTCTCATTTTTTGGTCAAAGATGGCATTTACTGTCTCTTACGGAAGGTCAGGAATTTTTATAGAATATTAATAGACTAAATTAAATGACTTTATTAAACCCCTTAAGGTAGTTTGATCAATACAAGTCAAACTAATACAAATTCCAAGAGGACGGTAGATGTAGCCTGCCTAGCCACAAAAAATAAATAAATAAATAAAATCGATCAATAAATTGATTTTCTTGATTAATCAATTAATAGTTTTGTCTATGAAATGTCAGAAAATAGCAATCCAGGTAATGAATTCCAATTGTTTGTTTTATTCAACCATCAGTCTAATACCACAGAACATTCAGTTTACTATAATATATGACATCAAATCCTCTTGTTTGAGAAGCTGGAACCAGCGAATTTTTGGCATTTTTCGCTTGAAAAAAAAGTCAACTTTGAAAATGAAGTACAGTTTGAACACTCCCCTGGTTCTTTCCTCCAAAACATTTTGTAATGAGTCAGGAGTCAAACCAATTATCAAGCCAGTCTTTACCATACATGTGTTAGTCTTGTTCCAATCATTGGCAGTAATGCTAACTAAATAAAACAAGGCACTCACCATAAAATTTTGACTGGAGACAGTTTAAAGCTTTCTGCTAAAATCTAAGGACCTATTAGTATAAAATGATACTGAAAGTGAAAGTGAAAGAACACAGAAAATGAAAAAAAAATCATCTACCAAAATTGTAAAATTTGTGAACAAGACTGGGAAGATTGGGAAAGGCCGTAGATTGAGTCTGTAGAGAACAAAATATACTCTTCTAGAAGTGAGAGAAAAATGTTTTCAGGGTGCAATCTGCCCTCTTCCTTACGAACAAATGCTGGAGCAGAAAATGCTCCTGGGCTTGAAAAATCTATCTTTCCATATAACACCAGCCACTTTTTTCTGCCCAGAAATTGTTATATAAGTTATACAAGTGCGACACACCAATTCTTCTTATGTAACACTATTTTCTAAATAAACGATAACCTTCAATAATGTTAAGCTGCAAAGGCTTTGATTAATTCATAAATGTATTATTAATTATACCATTTTTGATACTTGCTATTTTCCAACACCCTCACACACCGGATATCTAACATGCAAATACACGTTAGAATCAGATGGCTGCAGTGTAAATAGCCATATTGTCACTCTTAGGCACCTGCATGAGGATTTAGTGGGTACAATTATTTATCAGCTGCAGCAGTTAAGGGAAGTCAACAGTCTGCTCTATTTACAACACATAGTTAAACATTTTAAATAGATTTTTAACCTAAGCTGATTTGTATGAACCACAGACTATTTACGTACCGTTTTGTTTAGAAATCAGCAGTGAATATAGATTGAACAGCAAGCACCTAGTGCAGTTAGAATAATTAACACATAAATATAACAGTTAGAATAATTAACACATAAATATAAGCAGTAAGAGTGTTGTGTGTAAGTGTGAGAGAGAGTTGTCAAAGATGTCACCTGCATGATCAGCAACTATGCTTTGAGAGGAATGTGACAGTAAAATGTGCGGCTCATATTTCATATAGAAAAAGAGTAGCGTGAGTTGTTTGTATAATGAATTTAAACACCAACATTGATAATATCAGTAATGTTTGATGAATGTTTACATGTTCTTGCAAGCTCTTTTAGTATCTTTTTTATCATTTCAGACTTCCCCTAACATTCTTGTTTCTAACATTACTGTGAATTATGGGTAATTCCCTCAAGCAAAAGGGCTCAAAAGTCCATTTGAAACCACAGATCTGTTGCACATATTTCTCTGCAGGTCAGTCCTGAGCCCTCGCAGACTCAACATGAATGCACATCAAAGCCTGTGAGTCTGTGAGGGTGGACAACGAAACCACAGGATATGTACCAACTTGTAAACTGAGCACAATTCAAAACTCAATGCATGCACTGTAGTTAGAGAATCAGCAGAATATAAGGAGGTTATTAATTTGGGGTTTGATTGTTAAAAAAAAAAATTGTAAAAAAACACACATTGTTCAATGAAAGTAAATCTGAAAAAAATAAATAGATTAGTAAATTACGAATAAAAGCAGAAGAAGTTGAGGCACCAGTTAGCTCAACTGGTATAGCACACATACCCATGAACAAGGCTGAGTTTTTATGGCAGTGACCTGGGTTTTAATCCAGCCCACGGCCCTGTGCTGCTTGTCATCCCCTCTCTCCTGCATTTCATGTCTCTGTTCAGCTGTCTTATCCAAAATAAAGGCAAAAAGCCCCCCCCCAAAAAAAATATATATATACTGTATATGTATAGGAAATGAACATTAGGATGTCTCTCAACATTTTCTCTACGGACTTCATCCAGGACTATGACCTTAGCCAGCTGCAGCAGCCCGAGTCTTTAGACCACATCATCAATAAGCCAGCTGGGGTGCGCAGGGTGGATGAGAGACCAGTGATTGCTGAGTCCCAGTACCCTGTCAGACCCAGTCTGCCCCACCCTGGAGATATAGGAGACTTCATTAATGATGTAAGTTGAAGAGTGGAGGAAATATTTTGTGGTGTTGTGTTGATTTCATGTTCCTATTTATAAGCTGGGTGTTCACAGACTTTTAATGTTACCTGACTGATGTGACTCACACAAAGGCTTACACTACATGAGATCTGAACCTTTTTTTGGGAGGGATTGTTACGTTTTTCAAAACAAATTGCAGACTTTTTTCACTCCAGAATTGTATTCCTGCCAGCAGAGATGCTGTGAGAAATATTTGGCCCCTGTACACAGCTCAATGTCTGGCTCTAAAACGGCATTCAGACCGTGATGGAACATTAAAACCTTAATTGGTGCGTAAGCAAATTGGTTTATTAGGTTTATTGGAACTTCTACAGTCTGGCCACCTAAACCTATGCTCCATTACATTGTTGCTGAACAACAATGATTGGCCTAAATCCAGTTTTGATATGTCGGTCTAACCACACAGAACAGGAAAGACTATAACTGTAGAGTGTGGGTTGCAGATCTGTCATCTGTCAATCTTTATGTCTCCAGGGTCTGAGGGCAGCAGACAATGACCCCACAGCTCCTCCCTACGACTCCCTGCTGGTGTTCGACTACGAGGGCAGCGGTTCAACCGCCGGCTCCGTCAGCTCGCTCAACTCCACCAGCTCAGGGGACCAGGACTACGACTACCTCAACGACTGGGGCCCTCGCTTCAAGAAGCTGGCCGACCTCTACGGAGGAGGGGACGATGACTGAGAGCGGAGCGGCAGGCTGGGTGGGGCTACAGCAGGGTTTGGGAGAGGCGTGATCGGTTGGGTGGAAGCTCCTAGAAACCACATTCAGGGGCCAAGAACATGACGCAGTCTCCATGGCAGACATGCGCTGCGTTAGCTTGCTCACAGCGACCGAGCCCGCAAAAACATGAATTCCACTGCTACGCAACTGTATTCTGGCTTTATATTTTTTCGTGGCGCGTTTGTAGTGTGATGTTTTTTTTTTTTCCTTCTTCTTTTTGTTGTTCTCTCACCACGCTGGACCTGGAGCTCTCTGGGGATGAATCAAGGCGGTCGTGAGAGACACAAGTAGTGAATTTGTGCTTTGATTGATTGTTAAAAGGACACCATCTCTTGCTTTAGTTTCACACTGAAGAGAATGTTCTTGGGAAGGCGCTCTCTGACTCTCTCTTTCACTCTGTCAACTTGAATTTCCTTAGAACAGAAGCACTGTCATTTTATAAAGTGCCTTTTGTGGTGTGTTTTTGTATCAGACTCCTGCTATCTCAGGATCGGTTGCCATTCGTGCAGTACAGTGGAGGCGCATTCTCTCGTCGCCCCCTGTGCTCCTCAAACCAGCCCTGCCTGTCCCTCTCCTCTCCCCTTCACAGTGGTGCAGATAAACAACCCCAGCAGCCAGTCCCAGGAGGGAAGGACACAACCAGGGCAGACTATCGGATATCATAACCCAATGAATTATGGGCCTAAAAGAAGCCAACAAGAGTTGTTGTGGTAAAGACAACCCTCTTCTCCAAGGACCTGCTCTCACAAGCATCACCTGTTGACCCACTGACAGTGTGTGAGACCATTTTTATACATGTGGGGGTTTTCTAATGTAGTGGAGAATGCCTGCCTTTCCTCTATGGACTCATGAGTTTAGGAGCCTTTATGTTGAGAAGCTTGCCTGCCCTGTATGGTTTTGTGTTGCTTTCTCCACAGTGTAAACCTTATGTAGGCATGATCTGATTAGTCAGACAATGTAAGAAAGTGGAACTTGAAATGACTTGGAACAAAGGCATCTGAGAATTTTTTTTTTTTGTCGCCTTGAACATTCCCGTTTTTTATAGGCCAACAAAACTATTAAAGTGCATGATTTTTTTTTTCAAAATGTTTTACTTAAAGCACTTGTTACTATGTGGTGAGAATGTGAAAATAGTCAGAAGAAACTATATGAATATACTCTGTATAAAGACACTGAGAAAATAAAAATACTGTAAGATACCTATTTTTGAAGTATTGATGACATAAAAGTTGCTGCTCTTTCTCCAGCTCTTCACTGGGCTTAGGGGATTTTTGGCCCGTTCATTTTTAATATATGGATATTTTTGTTTCTTTGTCTTCTGTTGAAGCATAGTTCCATTTTTAAGATGCCTGCTTATACATGGTTTGCTAGTTTTTTTTCTTTTGAGATTGTTTTCTAAAATGCTTTGTTATACTCCTTTTATATGTGAAAACACAGCCTTCCCCTTTCAACCTGTATTGTCACTGACGGACGTGTTCCTCCTGTTGGCCTCTGGCCTCAGGACAGAGAAAAGTTCATTGGCCATGCCTGCTGATAGTTGTTCTATTATTCCGTGTCCTGGAATTCTTTTCTTCATTCATCTAGATACTGGATGTGTGCTTCAGAAAATAAACAAGACATGTTTTGAAAATGTGCCATCTTTTTTGAATATTCCCTACGTGCATCATCTTCCGGAGTATGCTGAACTGTGTGACATGGCCAGATTGGTTCAGTGCTGGTCATTTCATGTCACTCAAAGCTTTAAATTATAACAGGACTCTTGTCTTTAAAATCATTATTTGTTACAGCTTTAGCTATACTAGCCCAGACTTAAAGCCACTATGTGTTGGATTTTAACATTTCCCATGTTTGCGCACCCCCTGTGCTAGTATTAAAGAAGATAATATGGCAGACAGCAATGCATGCCTCTAGCCCCCACCCACCCCCATTGACTGAACAGCCAAGACTGATGATGAATGAGCTGAAAGCAGCTCAGGGACTGCATCAGTTTTCAGGATTGTCTCATTTTTCTACAAACACACACCAGAGTCATTTGATGTGTATGCTATAATCACATACAGATTCTACACATAGTGGCTTTAAATTGACTGCTTTCCCACCTTTACTTGTTCATGAAATGACTGGTTTGTATTTGCACTGAATGATTGCACCTTCTTTATTTTTTACTGTGGACCAATGTATTTTAAAGTGTTAGAGTCATGAAGCAAAACAGACTCCCTTTGGAGTTACGCAGTTAATCTCTGACCCAATTGTTTGGATATGGATTAATTTTCTAATAAAACACTCGCTATTTGTACTTTTATTGCATCTCAGAAGAAAGAGACGTAGAGCAGTGTATGGGGTCAGGAAGTATATTTGTGTCCATTCCTGTGATTTCAATTAGTCAGCTGAAGTGCCAAAAAGCCCACTGGGGACTTAAAGGGATTTAATCCTCTCCGGCTGTGTGTCTATCAATTAGCCACGCCATTAATCCCCACGGCGTAATCTCATTAGATAGAGCTCCTTTAATGAGACACCCAGAGAGAAAGCAGAGAGGCAGTGCAGTAAGAGAGAGGGAGAAAAATGAGGTGGTGGCAAAATCCAGGTAGGCCGTGTGGAGAGGTGATTAGTAAGATGGAAGCCAGGGTTGGAGGGGGCGAGGGAAGTGAAATCCAAGCACAGTAGGGACAATGGATAACATTTAGAAAATGGTTTGTAAAAAAGGTTAAATATGAGGTAGTGAAATAGAGGGATACTTATTGGGTTGTCCACTATGGCCGGAAATTAGAGGAGTGGGCAATGGAGAGGTACAGAAGACAGGTACAGGTGAGCAGAGCTGGTGGAGCATAGTGGACTAGTTACCAGTGCTTTTTCCTCATCTACAGTGAAGTATCCCATCCCTGTAATAAGAACACTCAGTAATAAACCCAAGTTCATCTTTAGTACAATGCTGAACTCTGTTATGGACCCATCAGAATTCTGGACCCATGTTAATAAGGGAGCCTTCAGAGGTGGGCGCCACTGCTCTCAAATAATGATCAAGTTGGTAAAAGGGCATCTTGGTCATAGCAGATACGGAGATTTACTTCAGGGAAGGTTTCTTTGATGGGCTTAGCTGAGGTTTCCCTGTGGCCAATAGGCAGAGTGATAGAAGAAAGCACACTCAAGTTGCCCCCTTGATAAATGGCATATATAGACTGAGAGATTTGCTGCTGGCTTGCAGCCAGTGCTTTGTGTGTTGTAAATAAAGATCTCCTCTTCAAACATGTCCAAGACTGCCTCTTTTCATTTCCTCTCCATATAGCTATTGAGTCTCTTGGGCCAGTGCTGGGGGGGGGGGGGGGGTTCTGATGCCGGCTGCGTGATCAACTGCTCCTAGTTAAAGTGTTAATGTTGCTATTCAGTAAAGGTACTGCCCAGGACGGGCTGGCTCTGCTGGCTGCTTTTCTGCTGACACCACTCTGAGCCTCCTGCTATTTCAGGACTCAGTCTAAAATGAGATCAAAGCAGCAGAATAAATGTGATGTTCCTGCTGCAAGTGGGGGAGAGAATATCTACTGTTTAACGACCAGCCATTTATGATATGGGTGGCTGGTCCCGTGGAGATGCTATTAGACTGGGTGTTCATATAAGTCAAGGCTGAAACACTGTCTGTGCACCGACAAACAGCACTTGAAAAGCCCCCGGTTCACCACGTGTCAGTTAGTCACACATAAATTGGTTAATTGCTCATTTGAAACACTAGGACTTGTCATAGTACGAAACGTACAGGTATAATTAATAACATTAACAATGTCTCTACTGTTAAATCGAATTGAGCAATCATTTATTTTATCATTAACACCTTGGATTTCCTGCTGTGACGTCAAAATGTCTTCCAAGAAAAATACCTACTGTATATACAGTGAGGTGCGTCCAGCATTATTACCTAATCTCATGGGCCACATGTCAAAAGCTATTCCTATGAGCTTTATTGTATAAATTGTCATGACATTTTGTACAGGGGGTCATGGACCCCAGAGGATGAATCCTACTGACATGAGGGATCCCCTGACTTTTCCTCTAACACCACCACAAGGTTGACTTTAATGTTAATGGGGTGATTTTTGGTTATCCCTATAGTTCTCATCTAGCACCGCCATCAGGTCAAATTTTCTTGTATGCTAATTTGTTATTTGTCCAGTACTTTGATTTATAACTAAATACCTGCAAAACAAATGACATTGACGGAAATGTCTTTGTACTTTGGGTTTATTGCTAACTAGCAATTGTTAGCATACTAACACACTTAACTAAGATGGTGAACATGGTACACATTACACTTGCATATCATGAGCATGTTAGCATTGTCACTGTAAGCGTATTTCCATGCTGATGTTAGCACTTAGCTCGAAGCACAGCTGTGCTGATTTTGACCATTCATTTTTTAACATGTCTCTTGTGAGTTAATTAACACTGTGAATGTTCAAACAACTGGCCAAGCACACTTGTCATATTCAGCAACACTTATAATATAATCACAGAGAAGGACGCATCATGGTATTGCCCTTGTGTTCATGTTGACATCCTCAACACAAGTACGTGAAATCTGAGCATCTCTGTAGAGACCGACTTCTCTGTGATTACATGCTAGAGTACAGTGGGATATTCGAGCTGTGTCCTCGAGCAGAGCGGCTCCTCTAATCAACTGCATGTAATTCTTCACCTTAGCCACAGTTTAAGTGCCTTCCCTGGGACACTGGCTACATCTCTAAATGGTATGGAGATGATTCCTTAGCAGCCAAGTCAGTCTGGTGTTCTTTAGGGTACAATCAAGCTTCCATTCCCATCTTCCCCTCCATTTCCCTCTGTCAGCATCACTTCAGGAAGACAGAGCAACGCTTACCATGAATAATGCATGTATAGCAGTCATTAGTATAAATAAATAATTGACCACCACACATATGTAACAGAATTAGTCTTGTAATGATGATATTAAAGTAACACGACAGGGAGGAACGACAACCTCTCTGGGCATGTGCCCAATCTAAGATGATTAGTCGCAGCTTGATGACTCTGTTCTTATGTGTGTGCCCTTTGTATATAAACTCCTTTGTTCATCACAAGAGCAAAATCTACCTATGTTTCATGGCAAATAGCCTCTTTTCATACGTAATTAAATTTTGTCTTTCTGAATCTTAAACAGTGCTTCAAGGTGAGGTGACTTTCTTGGCCTAAAGTGGTCTCATGGTTATTTATATTCATTTTTGTTGTTATTTTATGTCTTTTGATGGAAATATCTCAAAAACATATCAAATGGATTGCTATTCAATTTTGACATTTGTGTTGATCCTTTGACTGTTCCACTTGCACCACCATGGGGTTAAAGGTTTTTCTTTTAGTGTCACATTGTAGCAACTTTATATATCATATATATACTCATATATCATTTGGTACAGACACTTATAGTGCCAATAAAAACATCCGGAGTGAAAACCCTGAAAATTTGGGGGGAAAGTCAGAAAAAAAAGTGTGTTTGGTTGGTGTTTCGATAAAAAAAAAATCAAGATAAAGAAAATCCCACACAGTGCAATGGAAGACAGATTTGGCGAATAAATCATGACGTGCATGCAGCATGTGATTTGAACGCCCACTGAAAATTCCACTCCACTGGAGAGATGAAAAATGTCAGCAGACGAAACATCAGGTCTTTGTGGGGCAATGAGGAGACTGAAAATTTCCACAAATTAATAATTAAACAAACATAAATACCATATTTCCATCATGTTTTATTAATATATTTTCTAAATTCACATATTCTTTTGCAAATTTTCTGAAAAGTCTGGTAAAATGTGTGCTCGCACCAGCCATGTTTAAATCGGTTCAACAGAACCCTGGGGCTTTTACCCCCTTTGATGGGGTTCGTTTGGGTTGGTGTGAACAGCAGACTCGAAACTCTGGTGCGGACCAAACAACCGCTCTGTGGTCCGCCTCGAAGGGGTGGTCTCAGACAGCTGTCAAGTGAACTCTGGATCGGTTCATATCTGGTGTGAACACCATTCAAACCAATCACAGCAAGCATACTACTGTATGTGTCATTTAGTTTAGAAAAGTTTTCTCATGCTGTTCTGGCAACTGGTGAACTAGTAGCGTGTTTGCACCAGGGGACAAACCTGGACTCATCACAAAGTGAGATACCTCCTGGATATTTGGGCTGAAGCATTTCTCAATTTCTAGAGAAGGCGCATAAGAGCATATAAAATAGGTTTTATAAAAATATTATGTGATAAAATGAAGGAAAATTGATATCAGCGATCTGTTGAGCAGTGTGGTGTGAAAGTTGAAAAACTGCTTCAACAGTACATAAAAGTGGAGGGGACCAAGGATGTTCTGTCTGTATCTTGGAGCTCTTTCAAGCCAGTGTACTCAAAATGTGATAAAAACTAGTTAGATGTGAATGAAATTAAATGGTGTAAGTGTTATCTCTGCAACACAAACAGAAAAAGCATAGTTTAGTCTCAAACACAAGGAGTAAAACGTTCCTAAACAATCCTCTGCAGGCCTTATAGGCACACAGAGAAGCCTACAGGTCTTTTGAACATAGTAATAAAAAACCTTACTGTGTGTGTCAGACACATACTGAATTTCAAAGAAAAAATATAAATACAACAAAACATTTTCATTGTTGTTACAACTAACCCAGACTCTTGTTGTTACAACCAGTAGTGTAGTCTAGGTTTTTTGTAGTGAGTGTACTGTGATTTTTTCCCTCCCAGCCTCATACTCACCCGTCCCAGAGCAATGCGTCCTAGAGCGACACCCCAAAAGCACCACCACACTCACTAATGCATACAGTACGCATCTACATGTAACTGAGAGCTTTCTGAAAGACTGCTTATGTGTTATAAACATGCTCTAAGCTACATTTAGCCTTAGAATATGAATATGGTCACTCATCTTCTAAAACTATTGTCAAACTTAGGCTATGCACTGTATGAGATTAAATGCATGAGAAAGCATCCAGGAACTGCTACTTCTACTACTGTACACAGACGCACACAGATCCACAAACACACACACTTCCCTTTATCTCTTCCGTTGTCTCACATTCATTGATCCACTACACTAACGTTAGTGAAGTTAGCTAGTTTTAGATACAGTTCAATATACCCTGCTGTTACAGCTACTTTAATTACATTAATGATAATGTATATGCTACTTATACTTACCAAGTAACATGACAAAAGCATCTGGCTTGTTCTCTGTACTGCGTGGGATGGAGCTCAGACTCATCTGGCTTATTTTCTGTGGTTTCATTCATTTTAACGTTCATGTCGTCTGCTGCAACTGCTGTGTCACCTGAAGCGGCAGGAGCTTCAGGCTACAAAAACAGTTCTGTCACAAAACAATCTTGTTATGTATGCTCGCGTTTTTAAGTGATTTTCTAGAAATCGTTGACCTCACATAAACCACACCACTGGCAACTAACCCAAACTCTTGTACCCATGAACTAGCTTACCTTAAAGCTTACAGTTAAAACATTGGCACTACCAACTTGCATGAAAGACATCTATATAGACACACAATAAACATGATTTAAGTGAACATTTGTGTGGAATTGTGGTGATATTTCTGTCTGATCGCTGATGTTTTCAGTTTCGGTTTTCTTCCTCTGATGAAGAGCAGTGCGCTAGTCTCATCGAGTAGTTATTCAAATTATTTATTTATATTGGCCTATACTGTTTTTTAAAAATGGGCCAACGATCGGCCCATAAAGCATAGGCCTACACTGACATTGGGTTGGCCCAATCACATCTCTTACAGCACCCACTCCCTCCCCCTCTGCTCAAGCGGTGTGGAGGGCCAAAAATAATAATAATTCGCCAAATGTGCGAAAATAACCAATATATAAATATAAGCTAAAAAACTAATAAGCTACTGGTTACTGCATTACATTCTATTATATTTTTATATTCTGAATTGTCACCTGCCACCTAAATTTTGTCCTTCCCTTTATAAAAATAAAGACATTTCCACCATAAATATGTGCAGAAAATGTCTCCAGAATGCAGGAAATTCAGTGTTCAATGCTCAAAATTTTCAAATATTTCATCAATAAATAACTCTTAACTGAATTCAGATTAATGAAGCTATTTTATCATTGAGGTGAAAAGGTTAAAATGACTTTAGGTTGATCTACAGGAGAAATATACCTGACAGCCTTACAGCATTATATTACACTATATTCTTCTTATTTTGAACTGTCGCCTGAGACATTTCCTCAATA